TCGGCTTCTTTTGGTGGTGCGATGATGCTGGGCTTTTTAGCCGGTATTTCTAGTTCTTCTTGGCTCATCTCTGTAGCAATTGTGGCTATTTCTTTTCTTCCATTGTCGGCTTGTGCTTTGCTTTGCGATTTGGATTGCTCGAACGTCGCGATCAAAAGCATGCTTCAAATCACCGAAGAGAAAGGACGGCGTTGGGTCTCGCATCTTAAGCGATAGAAAATACGAATAATGTGGTATTGCCATGAATTTTGCTAGTGTTGGGCGTCCGAGGATTGCATGATATGACGAATCGAAGTCTGCAACCTCAAATTTGATAAACTCTGTTCGGTAGTTCGAAGGAGTTCCAAAAGTAACGGGTAAAGTAATTTGTCTAAGTGGCATGGCTGCCTTGCCTGGTACTATGCCGTAAAAAGGTGTACTTGTTGGTGTAATCATCCCGGCGAGTTGTAATCCCATCTTCCTTAGCGTTTACGAAAAGATGATGTTGAGTCCGCTTCCCGTCGATTAGTACTTTGGTGGCGATCATACTAGCAATAGTTGGATCTAGCACCGATGGATAATAACTGCGTTTCCACGCTAGTCCATTGGTCTTCTCCGTAAATTGGATAGGATATTGTGACCAATTGAGATATCTTAGAGTAGCCGGTTCTCTTTGTCATGATAGTCCGTAGTGCTAGTTTTTCTTAATGTTTGCTACGCAACTGGAGCCCCCGAGAAGATCTTCGCTACCGTTCTCCGGGTTTTGGAATCCTTTGTCCTCGTGGTTGTCTTCATCTTTTTTTCTGATTGTCCTCTTTGGTGTTCTCCTTACTATCTTTTCTTGTGTATCGATCATTGAAAGTGTAGCAATTTTCGATGGTGTGCCTCCCATTAGGGTGCAATGGGCAACGTATGTTTTCAATGTCATCATATCTTCTAGGTTTGGAAAACTTCTTTGATTTGTCGGCCATTGCTACGGTATTGTCTGGTCTACGTTTTCTTTCTTGATGTCTGCTATTTCGATGATTTTGCTTGTCCGAGTTGTCCTGGTTGCTTCTATCCGGGAACCTCTCGTGTTTTTTCTTCTGCAGTAATCATCTTTTCTACTGTTCGTCTGAATTCTTCATTGTTTCTCGGATTTTCTTTGCAGAAGTCTTGAAATTGCCACCTATCTATGATTCCGTGAGAGAAAGCTTCAATTACTTCTCATTCGGTGATGTCATGCACTTGAGCCCGTAGTTCGCCGAATCGTCGATAGTAATTTCTGAGACTTTCGCCTCCCTTCTACTTGAGTCCTTTCAGTTCTGCATGAGTGATTGGGTGTGTAATGATTCATACGAAATTTTCACAAAAAGCTCTTTGCAAGTCCTCCCAATTTCTGATAGATCCTGGATTTAATTTGTCGAACCATTAGAGGGGCATGGCTTCCAGTGCCATGGGAAAGAACAGGGTCTTGATATCGTCGTCTCCTCTGGCTAGTTCAATTGATTGTGAATATGTTCTGAGCCATTGCCTTGGTTCAATTTTGCCATCATACTTAGAGTGGTTAGACGGTTTGAACTTGTGAGGTAATCGTATTGATGCAAGCTTTGTTCGCAAGCAGGGGGAATCATCGTCGCGTTCCGACTTCTTTGAATTTCGATTGGCACCTCCTTCTGGCCAACTGTTGTTTTGATGGGAATAATTCTGCGAGGTCGTTCGGGTAGGCGCCCTACTCCTGGTCTTTCTTGGTTGTTCAAATCGGTGGCCTTGATTATGATCCTTCCTACTTTCTCCATTATGACGTCCACCTGGCTCAAGTCTTTCGAAAGCGGACTTCCTTTGATTTTGATCTTCTTGCCTGTGGGTTGTTGATCTGGCGGGTAGTCTTGATTGGGCTCTCTTCATGCGTTCTCGGGATCGTCGACCGGAGCAAGTCCTGGAGCTGTTCATACTTCTCACCGGGGTATGAAGTTGCTCTGAGTTCTTCTAATGCTTCTCGAATCTTATCGTAAAGGCGTATTTGCGTGCGTCTTCCTTCGACTTTCGTTGTGATTTTTTCTTCGTCAGTATTTCGCCAACTCGACTCAGATTCGATCCAGCTTCCTGCGTTTGCGCCTAGCACGGTGTTGGCGCCCTTGCTTCAACTTGTTTTTTCTTTCTCTAGCTTGTTTCTGACTCTCGGTTTCTCCATCGTAGCCCTAGGCAAAGGGTGATATGTTGGATTCTGATTCATCTGATGACCTGACATCGGGTGCTTCTGGGGGATTTAATGGTGACCGAGGGCGTCGAACCATGAATACTTCCCGTGCGTGAGCCGTTACATTATTGGCGTTAGTTTTCATCTTTGCCGGAGTTGTTGATAACTTTAGTAGATGCCTCGATGTCGCAGATCGAGTCTCCTTCTTGGTAAGGTAGAATAGCCGTCGCCGTCGTGTTGTCCGATCGGCATCTTTGTTATCCTCGAGAGGCAGAGTCCGCCGGTGAACGATCTTGATCTTGAGATGTTCTGATCGGGACAAGGCCTTCTTGAGCTCCCTTCGGTGGCATTCTTAGTACTGGATCGAGGACTTCTCTGAGCCGTGCCTGATAAGATGTTGCCATGTTGAGGAGTCCGAGTGGAGGAAGATCTGTGTTCTTGAAGGGGTTCTGTGCGTACTCCGAGTTGTATTCTTGATAGGTCAGGGCCGCGTTCTTAAGTCCCATCGAAAAAGAACTCGGTTTCCGAAAGGACTCGGATAAGACTCCAACTCGGATGCGGATCTCGAATTCGAGTCGGATCGCGCAAAGTCTGCGGAACTGAGTTGAATCGGACACTATGAGTCTGCGCGAATCTTCCGTAGATTTGATCTGTCGTGGTCGTCGGAACATAATAGTCTTCATGGTGTTTCGAATCTTCGAGGAGACGACTTTGGAGCTTGCCATTGTTGTCCGCATCGCAGATCCATGAGCCGAAGATGAAAGTTGATCCCGTTGAGAAGATCATGTTGTTGAGGTCCATCGAGCTCTCGGATGCAAATTCGCCGAAAGCCCCTACCTGGCGTGCCAGCTGTCGATGTTTCACCACCGATAGCCTGCCACGGGGGTTCCCGGGGCAGTATTGTTCGGGCTTCAGCGTATGCGGAACTCGACGGTGAACGGAAGAGACAGTCGATTTATTCTGGTTCAGGCCCTCGACTGTGGTCGAGTAACAACCCTACGTCCAGTCGGCGTTAGCCTTTGCGTTGGATTGATTGTGTTGTAGAAATCCTGATCTCCCTTCTCTAGGAACCCTGCCCTCCTTTATATAATCAGGAGGTCAGATTCCTAGTCGGTTTACAATGAGAGTTTCTAGTAGGATTACAAAATAATACTACTACTAAGATTACATGAGGAGAATCCTAGTTAGACTAGATCTTCTCTCTTCCTTGCGGGGTATCCTGTGGGTCCCGCACCGACAGCTATCCGAGAAGGGTTGACGCTGATCAAAAGGTGGAGTATTCAAGAACGGTTGACACTGATCATAAGGTGGGGTGGACTGACGCTGCGGAGCAGTGGTACAAAGTATTGAAAGCAAAGAAGGCAGGACTAGACGCTGCAAGGAAGACTGAACAAGCTGCAGCCACACAAGGAAGACCAGATGGGGATGTTAAGCGCCATCCATCCTTGGTGCTACCACTGAGCTAGATTCAGTGGCCGCTCATGAATGGTGGCAAAGCTTCTGTAACAGCACCATAAACAGCCAAAGTGACAATCTCTTCTCTGTTTTTGGAAGTTATCTGAATCTGATCTTTGTTTGGTTACATTCCACTGAACACTGATATGTTGGAGGAGTTCTTCACTCCTTTGGATGTGATGACAGTTACGTGATCTTATATTTGCTAAAATTATGGCTGCATTCGGACGAGCAAGCTGCACAGCATCGCAGGCTGCAGCTGCATAGAGCCATAGAGGAAATAGAAAATATAAGAGGAGAGCCAAGCTGCAGCTAAGAGAAAACATAAGAGGAGATACGAGAAAAGATGAGAGGAGAGCTGGGCTGCAGGCTGCAGCGGCATATGCCCGCAGCGTTGCTGCAGCCAACTCTTCCGAGCGCCTTAAATGGCTAAATCTGCAAATGCTATTTATATATATAAGAAATGTTAAATACAAAAATTCCCCTGGGCCCTGAGGAGCAATCGGCGGGCGGTGGCGGGTAGCGGCGACGAAGGCGGCAGTGTGCCAATTGGTGTTTAGTTTAGCAAGGAAGTCAGCCAGCGGCAAAGCTAGCGACTAACAGGCCACCGAGATAGAATGAAAAGAAAAAAAAAAGGCAACTAGTCGAGTGTTATTCTTATCCAGTACAGAAGAAGTAGATGCAGGTGATCGTCGTGTCATCACTCATCAATCATCATCATTTGTAATACAAAAAACAAAGGGAGCGTGAGAACCGATCGCATCCATCACGACTGAGTTTTGCTTCCTTGTGTTAATCGTGTAAACACGTGCACCAATAAGTTCACTGCTAGGGTAGGTTCATCCGTTCATGCTGCCGAGGTCAACAATAAGCGGGAGGATTAGTGTATGTAGTACATGTATGTAGGAGTAGTATACACACACGGTTAGTTTCACTTTTGAGAGAGAGAGAGAGCGAGGGGGTAAGCACGTAGGTTCGGCTGAGCAACGAGCGCCTTGTTCAGGTTGTTTTTCCAGTGGGGACAGTGTTTTTTTTTAAAAATTAGCATGAACAATGAAACAGCATGAACAGTAGAAAATTTCAGCCGAACCAGGCCACGCCGCTCGCCGTACGTTCTTTTGCGCTCGGGACCTGGCAGTCGCGTCGTGCTCCTCGCCGCGCGCTACGCCACCTCACCCACCAGGGCGCCACACCATCGCTGGTGCTCCCCGCCTCTCCCTCCTACAGTCCTACTAATAGCCTTCCTGAACTCCCCCTTCGGCCTTCCCTTCCCAATTCACACTCCACTCCATTCGGGCGGGTCAATTCGACTCGGGAGGAACCAACCACCCGCAAATCCCCCTCTCGAGTCTCCACTCGATCGGCGAGGCGCTGCGGCCGCGGGCGAATGGCGCCGGAGGCGGAGGCGGAGTCGCCCGTGGTGATCCACGCGTGGTCGGCGCCGCGCTCCCTCAGCACCAGCCTCATGTACTCCTTCGCCCAGGTCCGCCACCCTCCTCTTCCTCCCTCCTTCCCTGCTCTGTTCGCGCCTCAACTCATCCTGAGGCGGGAGAGGGGAGATCACAGACGGACGGGAACCCGTTCCAGTGCACGCGCGTTCACTCAGCTGCATGCAACGCGAGCGTTCTCGGTGCTCCGACCGGCGAGGGCTTGTGGTAGGCGATAGGAGGCCTATGCGAATGCTCATCGCGTCCAAGCAAACTGTTGCGTTATTGTCTTATTGATTATTGAGTAATCGAGTGTCACTCTGAGCGCTGCTGCTTAGCCTCGCGCCCACTTTTCTTCATGTGCGCTAGCTTAACTTGGCAACTGATTCTCGATTGTTGTTTCCTGTATGTATGCCTCCAGAGGGATGACATGGAGGTGCTTGACGAGCCTCTCTACGCAAATTTCCTGCGTGCCACCGGCGTCGACAGGCCCTACCGGCAGGAGCTCCTGTCTAAAATGGTGAGATTCGGCGGCACCATGCTTGGCTCAACTCTATCTTACGTTACAGTTTGAATTGCCTGGAACTATGGCTTGTTTCAACTAGTGAGGTGGTTGGCACACAGGCAACTAATTTAGTGCCGACCTTCAAGCTTTCAGGGTGCAATGCCGCTTTCATATCCTTTTCTGGTCTCAAACAGATGTCTGCCTCTAGGACCAATTAGGTGGAAATTTGTGTTTCAATTAATCCTGATAAATTTTGTATGGAAAATACTATCATGTACCATAATCCTGTATTCATGTACGCCTCTTTTTGGCGAGAGCAGAGCATTTTTTTCCACCCAGGAAATGCTGTTTACGAATTGTGTTCCTTGTGTCTAATTGAGTCACTGGGGGGGGCATTTCTGGTGCAGGACCCTGATGGAAATCAGGTTGTCAAAGAGGTGATTTTTGGCCCAGGGGATAAAAAGTATCGTTACTGCAAGGTATGATTTCAAAGACCTACTGTACAGCTTTGTGAAATGATAAGTTTTATTTATATATGATAACCCCCTTTCTTTTCTTTGAGTAGCACATCTCAAAGCAACATCTCCCAAACCTGTCAAGCGACCTCATGAAGAAGGGAAAGCATTTCATATTGATACGTAACCCTCTGAATATACTGGTATCTGGCACCTTAAGCCTCACACATGCAGTTTAGCTTTTTTTTGTTCTGTTTCACAAGTTTTATCTTATGACATGCCACTGCTGCGTTTGCCTTTCTTTTTCAAAAAAGAAAATACCCGATGCTTTGCAAGATCTTTTTCTTTAGCAGGTTTTGCATATTCTGTGGTGTACGTGTTACCTAATGTGTACCACTAATGATATCCTATTCCATTATCCCAGCCATCTTTTGATAAAGTTGTTCCACCATCCTTCATGGAGCTTGGCATAGGCGAACTTGTCTCAATATACAGTGAATTATGTGGACTTGGGAGCCCACCCCCTGTGATAGATGCAGATGATCTGCAACAGGATCCTGAGGTAAATCTATGACTGGTTAATGCAGTGGTTTATTACAGTGACCACTGTCCATCTTATGATTCTAATCTAAAAGTATGAGATGTCATCTTCCACGATGATATAGTAAGCTGCTTTAAAGGGCATGCCACTTTAGTCCTTAGCTTATATGCTACACCAACTACTTTCCCCCCTTCTTTTTGCATGAGTATACCAACTTCTCTAGTGCTACCTTAGTTCACATCATTTTTTATGGTCATAAAACATGAACCCTGCAATGTAATGGTTTTATAACATTTAAATAATGTGATGCAAATGTTTGCTGGTTCCAATCCTTGTGTTAGATTTCCCATAATTTTGGCATTTGCGGTCCAATGTATTCAGTTGGTTTGCACCTCACGCAGGCTGTCCTGAGTGGACTCTGTGAGGATCTGAGCATTCCTTTCCAGTCACAAATGTTGAAGTATGTATGTTGTAGACAATAGTGACACTAGTATTACACTTTTGTTGTGATATACATATGTAGCCTCATCATGTTCAGTTGGAATTGTTTCCTCTTTTTAGATGGGAAGCTGGCCCCAAGGAATTTGATGGTATATGGGCCCCCCTGGTGGTATGGGAGTGTGCACAAGTCTTCGGGTTTCTCTAAGCCTTGCCAATATCCTCTGGTAAGCTTACACACACACACACACACACACACACACACACACACAAAACTCTCTTGACCCCATTCTCCAGTATTTATGAGTATTTTTATGCTGGATAAAATTTGCATAGCAAGTCATTTCTACTTTGATTGGAAAAGGGCATGCTGGGAAAGGTAGATGGTAAGAAGCACGCCAGTCGGTGAAAAAAACTACCTAGACAAACTGAAATATTTTACTTGGAAGAAATATGACATAAATATATACATAATTTAATAGTTTTTTGTGTTCAAGGAATCATGAGTGTTTAACTGGATGTTTAGTATGAAAATTAGTAGGGGCTGTTTCGCGAAATCTGCCCTGAGACGTTGCATATTTTTTTCTTTACCATATTATTCCACTGCAACGACCAAATTTTGTGGTTGCAGTTAGTGACTTATAAGAATGTCATCTGTGGTAGCAGATGGTTGATTCACATCCTTGTCTGTATAAGTTGCTCCCGTGATTAGTACATACTGAAATTCTTGGTCTCTCATTCTCTGTTTATTTTCTCCTCAAGACAAATTTTCACCCATCTTGAACTGACATGTCACATGGCCATGTGTTCCACAGAAAACCTTAGCTGTTTATCACAATGCTGCTGAAACACACTTAAATGGTGTGTTTTTTTATACACATTTAAATGGTGTTGATTGACTAGCAACCAGATTTTTGAACATTCTCCTTGAAAATCCATTGCTAATACCTAAGTCATGACCATTATTTTGTGGACATTTATGCATCCTATTTAACCACCTGATGCTTCAGGGCGATGATTAATCTGTGATGGACTGTAAACAAACTGAAGCACCAATAAGAAAATTATTTGCTAGTAAATAAGCGCTTTGCAAACTACTAATGTTTTAGCATACTTCCATTTTAGTTTATCAAATTGCAATTCACTTAATCTTGTTTTGTACCATCTGGCACAGTTCTTATTTACCATGGAGTTTCTTGTTTGATTGCAGACTTTCCCATTCGCATTTTATGACCTGCTTGAGCAATGCTTGCCTTTCTACAACATGTTGAAGCGCCAAATAAGGAAGACAAGAGGACCCCAGCAACCACCATTACCTGACCCTCCTCTGCCTGTCCCTGCAAATAAAAACATTCTTGTTTGGGTTGGAGATGAACTTTTGCCCCGTGACAGTGCAAAGGTATATGCCACTGGTACCTTGTGGCATGCCACCATTATCAGAACATAGTAAACTCTCTACATTCTTTCTCTAATAATCTTTCTTGTAAAGATTTCAGTGTTTGATTCAGTTGTACAAGGAGGAGATGCTGTTTGGGAAGGTTTACGTATATATGATGGAAAAGTATTCAAACTAGATGAACATTTGGACAGGTGCAGTAGCTAGTTCAGTCTTCTGTCTGCATCCCATTTTCTGTATAAGTTTATCTAACAGCTATGTTCTCTTTTTTTCTTATCTAGATTGTTTGATTCTGCAAAAGCTATGGCCTTCAGAAATGTGCCTACTCGTGATTGGGTAAGCTAACCTTAGCATACTAGCTTCATGATTTCGCTGTAGATTGTATTGCAACATAGGTGCTTGTGGTTCTCTAAAATCTGAATTCTCATTTAGAGAGGTTCACTGGAAACCAATTTCAACTTTTTATTAACTCACACATGCTAAGGTGCAGATTAAGGATGCCATCTTTAAGACTCTGATTGCAAATGGAATGTTTGATAATGCTCATATAAGGCTCTCGCTCACCCGTGGGAAAAAGGTAAAATATAGATCAAGATTCATCACAATGTCACTTTTATAGTATGTTATCTATCACCTTCATGCTACCTGCTCGCTCATTCAATTCATTGGCTGTAATTTATCAAGTGAAGGTGACATCTGGGATGAGTCCTGGTTTCAATCTTTATGGGTGCGCCTTGATTGGTATTCATCTTTCCACCCACCTTTTTCTATTTTTGCATCCACGTGCACCTTCTTCTCTTTGGCATCATGAGTCCACCTTTGAACGCACACAAAGCATTTTCTTTCCACCATGAATTTTATTTGAGCACAAAGACACACAATAGGCCATGGAATGGAAGAGTTTAAGCACCAGTGGTGTTCTATAAGTGTTCTAAAATCAACAGCATAACATCACATGTTCATTGACCGACCTGTAATGCACAAGCTGGTAACACTTGACTATGGTATAGCTATTGCTATACTGGCAATACATCATGAGGAAAGGAAACTAATTCATGTCACTGTTACATCCAATTTAATTTGTATCAAGAGGTGCAATGAATGCTGTTCTGTTCGTTTCTGATAAAATCTTTTTTTTTTGTTCAGTGCTTGCAGAGTGGAAACCACCAGTGTATGATAACTCTCATGGAATAAAATTGGTTACCGCCACCACACGTCGAAATTCTCCAAATGTAATATATACTTACTGAATTATTCATGATTTTTTTTTATTTAACTTCAGCTAGCTTTAGGGTCATTTTAGATGAGTAGTTTTTCTTAATAGGTGAATTTCTTTCTCACATAACTAGCATTTACTTGGAGGGTGAAATGTGGTTGAAACCACCTACTAGGTGGAAACATGGAAACCAATTCAAAAATGTATTTTGGTTGTTCAAAATTTTTTGAAACTTGGCACATCCATAGTGCATACAAATATGTACTCACATGCAAAAGTTGGAATTCAAACTCGCATTTGAAAAATTCATATGAAAATGACAAGACAATCACAATATGTTACCAGTAGCCATCAGTGCTGACAAAAGCAGCATTTCGTCCTACCTGGTGGTCTCGATATGTTTGTTTCTTTATAATTGCCACTGAAAACATTGGTTTTATAGTTTAACAGGAAAATCATTGTTAACTTCATGGACAATTGAAGTTCGAAAAATCAACTATATAGTTTAAGATCATCTTTAAGAGGCTGATATATCTCAGACAATCATCTTAAAAGGACAATACCAACTTCTTTGCATCATTCGCTGAGTTGCTTGAATATGGAGGAATTGTGACTAGCACAATCTCGAACATATTTATTAATTCTTATCTGTATGCAAGAATTTGGCTGTCCGGTTTCTTTTTAGCCACTAGCTTGCCTCTAGGCTGATAGTTACCATTAGACCCCAAGAGTTCTCATTACCTAAATCTACCGACTCAAAGAAAATTTCCAGAGCAATCATAGTATTGTGCTGTTGCTGCGCTCAGGGTTGCCATGTTAACACGTAAATATACTTCTCACTGATAGACATTTGGCATTGATCGATCATAGCTGTAGACAAAAGTGAACAGGAATCTGTAAAGCTTGTTTTCTTTTCAAGGCTGCAGAATTTTGTATTCATCTAACACTTCAATAGCTGGTGTAAACCAAATGTATTTGTCTATTACCTCCATCACTAACAGTTTCAGTTGCTGTCAATGTCTTACAGTTTCACTATTTCCAATGTTTCATATACCTTTAGTTCAGCATCGGTTCAAATACCCTGAAATATGTTCTACTACTTTATGTTCCCTTCTTTTAATTGACCATGGTTATTCTCCTTGTTTCAGAGTATAGACTCCAAGATACATCACAACAATCTTATCAACAATATTCTGGCAAAGGTTCGCTTTCCTTTTGATTTGAAGCTCTTAATTAGCTCTTGGTATATACCACAACTGTAATGGAGTTTTTGTCTTTTGATATATTTGGACTCAATTTTCCATCCTCTTATGCAGATAGAAGGTAATCTTGCCCAGGCTGAGGATGCCATTATGCTAGACAAGGATGGCTTTGTATCAGAAACAAATGCAACAAACATTGTAAGCATACATACCTTTGGCAAATCGACTAATAGACACTTGGCACATGACTGCTCTAAAACCGCCATTGTGTTAACTGCAGTTTATGGTTAAAAGGGGAATTGTATTGACACCTCATGCTGACTATTGCCTTCCAGGCATTACGCGAGCAACTGTGAGTATAATCATATTCTAGTTGGAACAACTGGGGCCAATCTATACAAGTGCCTCCTTTCCATTCTGAACAAGTATTTTTGAGATATATTTTGTTCTATTTGTGCACCAATACTCTTTCTGAGGCTCAAGTTGCTTCACAATATTTGAATTATGTTGCACATTTATAATTTTATATACTATTAAGATATGTAGTGGAAAAATATAGGCTCTAAAATAGTAGGAATGGTTCTATCTGTTTTCATTTTGCTAGAGGGACTTTGGTACATATTAGGAAGTAAGGTTTGGTTCCTTTCATTCATTATTTTTCTGTATACGTTCAAATTATTGGATTAGGGTCATGTTCGAACTATCTTCATGAGGAAGTGTAAAATATTTGAACTACAGAAGCAGAAATTCTCCACAATTCTAGTAGCCTTGTTATCTTTTCGCCAGTGTCCTGCCTAGTTGAATAAGTTTGCCCATTCAATACTTCGTTATATTACTGTATGCTTAATGTAATGTTTCTGGATTCTGGTTGTGTATGCTTACTGTAAAGTGCTGCATATATGTGGAAATGCACGGAATTTGTGCTAATAATGAAAATTTGTGGTTTACTGAGTCTTTCTAACATTTTTCAATTGAAAATAACAGGTCATGGATCTTGTGGTGAAAGAAAACTTTGTGTTACATGAACGACGCATTAGTCTGTCAGAATTTCATGCTGCAGATGAGGTATGGTACTTTACTTGGAGATATCAGTTATATGCTCTTTTTAACTGGGTAATCCTTCACTGAATGTCTCTTAAATTTAACTTCCTGTTAATGAACTAATATGACAAGATAGACCGCACTTGATCAAAATTTTCCTTTCAAAAGGCTTCCATGTAGGATGCCATGCACTTAAACTTGATGTTTAGAATTATGCATGAATTGTCATTGATATAGTAATCTGCCCACACCCACCATAAGCCCATAACATGCAGCCTGTTCGGCTGGGATTATACGATCGTAAACGATCGTAAATTTTCAGCCGGAACAGTATTTTTCTCTCACACCAAACCAGCCAGCAGTACTTTTTCACGATCCAGCAACGAACAAGCCCAGCCAAACGAACAGGCCGATGAATGTTTATTCTTACAGCTCTGGTTTTCACATGCAGGTATGGACAACCGGAACAATGGGTGAAATTACACCGGTGAGTTGACTTTCTTGCACTACATGGTCATGTTTTTGTTTTTCCTAGTCAGTTATTCACTGTCAAATGGTTCTCATAAACTTGAAAACTGAAGTTGGATTTGTTGCATTATAGTGAAGAAATATTTGCGTATGTTCTCTAATCTCAAGGAACACTATTTGGTCATTCCTTTTATTGTTTGTCAAGGAGGTGTGGCCCCCTAACTAGACTGATCTCTTTTCTTTTGCATGCTGACAAGTGACATCGAGTATTACTACACATGACTTCGTTGTAGAGTGCTCCAGTTTTCGAGCAATTCACCTTTTTCTGTTTTCTGCTCCTGAGTTTATGTCGACTTAGGAAAGTACAGAGAAGCGTCAGTTGCACTGTTGGCGCATCCAATAGTTGTCTTATTGCTGATACATTCTGCTTTACAACAGGTTGTAATGATTGATGGGCGTGAAATCGGTGATGGGGAAATTGGTCCAGTCACTAGACAAATCCAGAACGCATACAAAGTCCTGACAGCAGGGCTAGGAGTACCGATACCGAGGATTGCTGAGGTGTAATTGTCGAAGAGGCATCCCTTATCTAGCTAGGATCAGTCCCCCAAGGAGCCCCTATGATACCAATCTAGCACGACAATAAATTAATAATCTCCGTTTATCATATTGTTTAAAGGCACCATGTAATCATTGTTATTCCAAACAGGATACTGTGTATACTGCTGGAGATTATAAACGCAATAAGTCATTGCACTGGTATGCGATTGTATGCGTAAAAGTTGCCTAGTACTCAAATCCCCGTGCTTATTGCTGATCCAATTTGACATCATGTTCCCTGCCCATGCATACGATTCCAGTGCTTTTTGTCGAATCTGAATCTCTCTTTTTTTCCTGTGAAGCAAAGAGAATCTGTAGAAGGGAATTGTTCACCTCTTAATTTCCTTGCAGCATGCAATATATATCTTTACAGGAGAGCACAGGCATTTTCATTGCTGCGTGTGTTGGAAACAAATCTCCAAGGAGCTCAGTGCAGCATGGGCATGGTAACAAGGCCTAAGGGTCATGATTCTTGCAGGTATTGCTAGAACCCAGCCATGAAGATGGCAGAAAGGAAAACGTACGGATACAGACCCAAGACATTTCTTCAGCATTAATTTAATCCATCTATAGTTTCAGTAGTTCAGAGACCTTCAAGGCTACCAAGAATGGAACACAAGTCCATGCCACCAAACTACTTTCGTGCATCAGACTGCATTCAGACGAACAAACAAAGGTGCATACATGACAAACTGGTATGGCGACAATAGAAGTGCAGAATCACATAGGTTAAGAAGATAAATGTGCATGGAACTAACATGCTGCTGCAAAAACCACAAGGCACTGTTTTGATAGAGGTGTCAACCAATTACTACACTTGGTAGCCTCACAGAGATGCGATGACGTCATCATTGATTATGTTTTCAAATATATCGTGCTCCAGGAACACCAATAAGCAGTCACTGGTCCACTGGTTGCAGGGTTCTTTCATCATTGTGCTGTCTATGAACTTCATTGTTGAAGATGCTGTCTTGGCGATAGCTGTTGTGCCAGGAAGGACGAGAGCGAGTTTCAGGAGCAGATAAACCAATGGATACATGGAGTTCTTCCCTGTCCCCACCATCTTCACAGAAAGATCGCTCAATATAACCATTTCATGAAATCTGGCATCAGAGCGCACATCAGTTATGAACGCTTGGAGTTGCAGATCAAGTGCTGCAATAGCTGTATCGGGGAACTCAGATGGATAGAACCGAGCAAACTTAATGAGCTTGTCCTTATCAAAAGCTTGGAAAAGGTTGCGTGGGTCTAGGCATGATGCGAGGCAAACCAATTCTAAGCTTTCCTTGTTAAAGCGTTTATCAAGCTCCCTGAGTTGGTCGTTGATAACTTTTACATAGACATGAATATGGTAATGCTCCAAGTTTGGAGATTCATCGTCGGACCTGTGGTGTGCATACTGCTCCCCCATGTCAGGCATAGGCATGTCACTCTAGGCGCAAAGCAAGTCCACTTCCATGAGAAAAGATGGCCATCCTTCATCTCTCAGTGCCAGTAACTGTCTCTTGGACTCCTTGAGAAGAATCATAAAGTTCTCAGCATCCAGGTCGTTCCTGTCCAAGGCCAGAGACAATTGATTTGTAGTGGCTAGTACATCTCGCATCAAGAGCAAAACAAAGGGCATGTCCTCGGTGAATGCCCATTGTGCTCTTAATACCGTAAGTTTCTCATCAGTCCTTTTGGAATCATCTCTCCCCATAAAGTCAAGTGCATCACAAACAGCAGGTAAATAAGCAGCGAGTTTCACTAGTGCCTCATAGTATGAGCCCCAGGATGTCTCACCTGGCTTCTCAAGGTTGTTATCCAGATTCAAGCCTCTCTCTTGGATCAGCGAGCGGACCCTTTGATTGAACTGAGGAGACTCTTGAACTAAATTTGACAAAGCATCAATAGCTCGGAAAAGCTGGTAAGTTTCAAGCAGATTTTGGGAAGTAGGGGCAAGAATGGAATGCAACTGGAAAGCAGAAGGATGAACATAGTACGCTGATGCACTTGGTTTACTGACCAATGTTTTTAGTTCAGCAAAAGTAGTTGGTAATCTCCTGCTCCCCTGTACGAACGCACGACAGGGATAGACGTCGAAAGGCTCCCTGCTGTTGCACTGTAGCTGCTGCAGGGGCAAGCGCTGAAAGGCCCTCCTGCAGCACTATAGCCACAGCAGGGGCAGACGTCAAAGTCAGTCCTGCCGTCACATCTAATCACTGTAGCAGCGTGGCAACCTGACATGTCTGTGTACTATGATTAGATATGTAGAGTTGTATATATAGTTTGCCATTGCAACTCAGTAAATAGAGAGAGTTCAGTTTTGCCATCTCCTCTGTAGAGCCCCGGTCAACGCTGGTGCTTGTGCTGTGTCTGTGCGCGCGCTCTGTTCTCCCTCCCTTCTTCTACCTCTAGCCATAGGGTATGGTCGGCAACACCGGTGAATGGTCGGCTCACCTGTTCCGAGAGATCCAGGGGCTAACAAATGGTATCGGAGCCGTACAAGCGCCGTCGCCAGACTAACCGCTGACGATGACGGACGGTTTAGAGATGGACGACAGCAGTGGCGCTGCTGTGGCTGCCAGCCACAACAGGAGGTCGTCATGCGCACGGTACGGGAGGTCAGCGGCACCAGTTGGCCGACGCTGACTCGCACCAACTATGACGAGTGGTCGGTGACCATGAAGGTCAAACTCAGAGCCCGACGGCTCTGGAATGCTGTTGACAAGGACACCGACAACGAAGAAGACGACATGTCAGCGTTGGGGCTATCCTCGCTGCTGTGCCAGCGGAGTATAGAGAGCCGTTAGGGGCGAAGAACTCTGCTAAGGAGGCATAGGAGGCCATTGCAGCGATGCGCGTCGGTTCCGACCGCGCAAAGAAGGCGACGGCCCAGCTGCTGAAGCAGGAGTACGTCAACCTCAAGTTCAAGGATGGTGAGGTGGTGGAGGATTTTCTCTCCTCCTGCAGATGCTCATCAGCAAGCTGAATAGCCACGGCGTCACCATCGACGAAGAAGAGACGGTCTCCAAGTACCTCCACTCCGTACCGGTGAAGTACATCCAGATTACTCTCTTCATAGAGACAATGATGGACTTGTCCACCCTCACCATTGAGGATGTGACAGGTCGTCTGCGGACAGTGGACGAGCGCATGGAGTAGGCCACAGCAACGAGAGACAGCGGCAAGCTGCTGCTGACAGAGGAAGAGTGGGCTACCCGGAGGAACTCCGAGGAAGCCTCCTCCAGCCATTGTGGCGATGGCAAGTGCCGCGGTAAGCCTTCTTCAGAGAAAAAGAAGAAGAAGAAGATCGACCCCAACGCCTGCCGGTGCTGCGAGAAGACAGACCATTGGGTAAAGGAGTGCCCAAATCGTAAGTAGGAGAAGAAGGCCGAGGCTCATCTGTCGCAGGCTGATGATGGTGATGAGGCCACTCTTCTCATGGCGACGTTCTGTGCACTGCATGACGTTGAGGCCAAGGAGAAGGGAGAGGTGATAGCGGTGGAAGTGCCTGGGAAGGCTCTGAAAGCTATCAACTTCGATGAACCGCGCGCTCAAGTCCACCTCGAACTTATGGGCGGCGAGCAGGAGCAGCGGTGGTACCTAGACTCCAGCGCCAGCAGCCACATGACGGGCTCCAAGGCAGCCTTTTCCGAGCTCAACGGCGACGTGAACGGCACGGTGAAGTTCGGTGATGGCTCAAGGGTGGTGATCCGAGGGTGCGACACCATCATCTTCAGGTGCCAGAACGGCGAGCACCGCGCGCTAACGGATGTATATTACATCCCACAGCTGAGTTCAAGCATCATCAGCATTGACCAGCTGGATGAGCGCGGCAACGAGGTACTGATCAAGGACGGCGTCCTCAGGACCAGGGATCGGGAGCAACGCCTTCTTGCCAAGGTGAAGAGGTCTCAGAACCGGCTGTACCTGCTCGACTTGAAGGTGGAGCAGCCGGTGTGCCTGGCAGCACGGCACATCGAGGAGCCGTGGCTGTGGCATGCTCGGTTCGGCCATCTCAGCTTCAACACGCTCGGTCGGCTGGAGAAGATGGTCCGACGGCTGCCTCACATCGAGCACGCAGGCGAGCTGTGTGACAGCTGCCTGGCTAGGAAGCATAGGAGGCTGTCGTTCCCAAAGGCGGCCAAGTACCGCGTGGCAGACGCTCTCGAGCTTGTTCACGGTGATTTATGTGGGCCAATCATGCCAGCCACAAACGGTGGTCGGCGAAACTTTCTCCTGCTCGTGGATGATTACCGTCGCTATATGTGACTGCAACTCCTAACGACCAAGGATGAGGCGGCAGAGGAAATCAAGAAGTTCAAGGTGTGTGCGAAGGCGGAGAGCGGCAAGAAGCTGCGCGTTCTGAGGACTGATCGCGGTGGCAAATTCACTTCGATGGAGTTCGCTGCGTACTGCGCGGATCAGGGTGTGGTTCGACACCATACCGCGCCGTACTCGCCACATCAGAATTGCGTGGTGGAGCGGCAGAACCAGACGGTGGTGGGCAAGGCTCGATCCATGATAAAGGCCAAGGGCATGCCGGCAAGGTTCTAGGGTGAGGCGGTGACCACGGCGGTGTTCATCCTCAACCGCGCGCCCACCAAGGCCCTGAAGGGTAAGACGTCGTTCGAAGCTTGGTATGGGCGTAAGCCAAGCGTGTCCTTCCTCTGGACATTCGGCTACATCGGCCACGTCAGGAAGACGAAGCCGATCCTCACCATGCTAGAGGGCAAGAGCACACCGATGGTGCTCATGGGCTACGCGGAAGGTACCAAGGCGTACTGACTCTACGACCCATGCGGAGGCTAGATGCTTGTCTCGTGCAACGTCGTGTTCGACGAGAAGGCGGCCTAGGACTAGGATAGTCCGGGCACGGGGGAAGCTGGCGGCTTCACCAGCACCTTTGTCGTCGAGCACTTGGTCATCCATGGTAGTGGAGACGCTGGAGAGGAGGTGTCGACCACTCCAGCAACAGAGCTGAGCACTCCTAGGGTGGGGCCAAGCACTCTGGAAGGGGTGCCGAGCACTCCAGTAGTGGTGCCAAGCAGTCCTGCAGTGGTGCCGACCACTCCAGGACGGGTGCCGAACTCTCCCGTAGCGGAGCCGAGAGGTCTTATAGTGGTGCCGATCACTTCAAGACTGGTGCCGAGCACTCCTGCAGTGGTACCAACCACTCCGGGAGTGGTGATGAGCGGTCCAGGAGTAGTGCCGAGCACTGCAGCCAGGGTGCCGAGCACTCCAGGTGTTGTGCTGAACCACTCCAGCGGAACAGGGAACTCCATCGATGCCGATCGAGTTTGCCTCACCTCCAAGCGACATCACTGAGTTCGTGGATGCCTTTCACGACGGTGAGGAGGTGTGGTTCCGCGGGCTGGATGACATCGTCGGTGGCACAGGGTCCTCAGGCCTGACGGGTCGGCTGCTCAATGACCTAGAGCTGCTTCTCGTCAGTGCAGAGGAACCACCCACGTTTGTGTTGGTCGAGCGCGATGTAAATTGGTGACTGTGGGGGATATGACCTCCGATATCCATAAGACAAGACATGGGCCGCACCATCAGAGGTGGCCCAGCCCATAAGATCAAGGCGTGCACGGCACTGGTCGACGTGCATCGCAAGATATTATATAATACCAAATAGGATACTTTCCTTGTAACCCTACCCCTCTAGACTATATAAGGAGAGGCAGGGGTCCCCTAGTCGACATCTACATACATCTCATATTCTATACAATACAACAAAGACATAGGACATAGGGTATTACGTCGATCAGACAGCCCGAACTTGTCTAAATCGTTGTCTCTACGCATTGTGTCACCATCCGGTTTCGTATCACGCGCACCCCCACCAATTCATCTACTACTGTGGGTATACCCCTCGGTAGACTATCGACCAGATTTCGTCGATAGTGGCGCCCACCATGGGGCGTGTGCGTGCTGATCCCTGGCGAACCAGATGGCCAACCTCAAGACCAACAACGTCGGTGGCGACTCAGCATCTCTCGACATCTTGAATCGAGATATCCTTCCGTTGCCAACGATCTCGGACTCAGCGTCCGAAAACATCTCGTGGTTGTACGGCAGGTTGAGCTGAGATCATCTCCGTGTAGCTCCAATCTCCAACTCATCTGTTGGTGCCCTCTCAAAATCAATTTGCTGCGCACGCGGATCGTGACGTCCATGCTAATTGAGTAAACAAGCAAGGGACAAACGCATCTACAAGGCATGCAGGAGTCAGGCTTCCGTGCATATACACGTGCATTATGGATTGGAATTCCAGCAGATCGGTCGATAGTCCGCCTTGATCGAATCTGGCTCCGACTCGTCTCCGACCAAGTTCGACTCTGGCTATCCCAAGAGTAGCAGCCGTCCGACTCAAGCCGTCATTTCGACTCGAACATGAGATCAACCTCGTCCGACTGCAGCCAGCCGCCAAGCGAACCTCTAAGCGAGCCGCTTGGACTACTTACTTCGACCACCTGCCGCGTCCCAATGATGATCGCCGCGTAAAACGACGCCGAGACAACCACGACCGTCGCCATGACGACAGTTCGGAAAGCTCAAGGGCCGGGCAATTTCGTCAACGCCAACAAGATAACGCCATACGCCATCGACCAGACGTTCTGTCTAAAGCTAAGTCATGCTTTAATATTTATCTAAATATTCTCCAATCTTTGTATTTGTAACACCATCAGTGTTACACTGTACAATTTTTGCTAAAACATTGCACATGTATCATGTTTATATTATAGTGTATGAATTATAGAGTGTAGACCAATTTCTATGGCCCGAAATGTTCATCGAAAACGCGAAACGAATGTTATGTTTCATGTCGCGTTGTATCACTTAGGGTTCGAGATAATTTTTTATTGAATGAAAATGCTATAGAACGCGTATGCGGCACTTTAATAAAGTTGGTAGTACTAGCTTCGTAGGCGACGGTGAAATACTTGCGGTCGAGAATGGGATTCG